CAACGCCCAATAAAAACCTTGGCGATGTAAATGAGTACCACGTTATTTTAATTCTTGTCATATATCAATTGCTTCTGTATTCTTCTTTGCCAATCGCCTCTATTACCAGTAAAATATATTGATTACTGGTTTGGTTTAAGCTGGAGGTAATTTTACATGTAACAAAACATCTGTGCCTTTTTTTAGTATTAAAAAAAATATTGCATTATTGATCTGAAAGATATCACGTGACATGTCAACAATCAAACATTCCATATTTAAAATGGGGTATCCTCAAGTCGGTTGACCGACTTTGTCGTGAGCATTCGAAGAATTTGTACTACATTTCTTGGTAAATAGTATAACCCATTTCGCGTAGTACAAGTGTACTTACAAAGCTGAATCATTTGACGTCATAATTGTTCATAGTTAGTAGTAAATTGTAGTAGTGAGTAATAACGTCATTATTTAACGCGTAGTATTCCATAGTATAGTGTATCAATCAATTACGCATCTTCAAAAAACAAACGAGTCAAAATTTACCAGAAGGATATTAACGCTAATATTTCTCTAATAAAATATTTCTTTTAAGGAAACTTAATATTAATGATTTTAATAATGTTTTTACATCCAATACCAAGTATTTCCAACTTCTCAATCATTGTTCAACCTCGAAATAAGATTTACTAGATAAACGAAGACATAGGGTGACAATGATTCAATTTGAATTTGAATATTTTAACTAAAGAAAAAAATATAATGTATTATGAATAAGTCAATAAAAATATCTGAGTTGAAGAAGAAAAAGTGTTAATAAAATTTATTGCCATTGCTCAAGTTCCCGTACAAAATTATATTGCCATTCATCTCACTTTTAACTTGAAAAACAGAGATAGCAACATATTTTATATGAATGTTCCAATAGAAATAAATCAAGGGCGATTGTCTCTGTTTTCTAATATGAATTAGGTAATACTAGTGTCAAGGGTCAACGGTCCTTGAAGATTTAGGCGGCGAAGTAAAGGTCACAGTGAAGGGCAAGAGGCAAGGTCATCCTGACCTTGACGCTGAACCTCGATCGATAGAATTAACAAGCGGACTTTCTATCATAATAAAGTTAGAAAATTGTTTGAATGCTTTGTTACAGCAGAAAATGTTATAACTGTAGGAAATAATAAAAGAAATGGAATAACTGGACGATTTATTTCTTAATATTATAAATGCGAAAGTTTGGATGGATGGATGGATGGATGTTTGTTAGAGTTTGTAGCCTAAACTAATGTATGGATCTCTATGAAATTTGGCAGAGATGTAGGGGATAGTCTGGACACACAAAGGCTACTTTTTTTTATTTTACGCGGATGTAGTCCCGGGCGGCAGCTAGTAATATAATAAAGCAATCATCATAAGGTTTTATTTGTACTCTTAGACATATATGACGTTAAATTACATACTTCAACTATGTGCAACAATAGTTTTCTATTGTTTTATCTTACTGGCATAGAACTTAGCAATCTTTTCTTTCACAGAGACAAGGCGACATCGAGTCGCAACTGCTGCACAGCCAAGGAAGTGACAAGCGGCATAGCATCTGGTGGACCCTAGGGGTAGACCTGCCTTTGTTACTAATAAGTGAGTACAAACATGACGAACGCCCTAAGAGAGTAGAATATTGAACGGTGTAATCTCGCCTCTTCAGCATTCATGGATTATTCCCAACCGTCGCCCCTTCTCTCTCCACGTGGGAATAAAAAGTTTTATCCGCTCCACCTTTTAGTCACACTATCACCAAGAAGGTGACAGATGGAACCGTTACGAAATAAAATAAGTTCCAATCGTCTCCTTGTCGCAAAAGTTGGGACGGATGGAACCTTTTATTCTCATCTGTCTCCATGTGGGGACAGAGTGGGGTGACGGTTGGGAATATTCCGCATTCATATCTAGGTACATATTACAGATAAAAAATACTATACTAGTACGTGGTACACATGCTTCCTTTAGTGTTGTACAAACAAAAAATTTCGAGGTATTTTTTCAAACGTATGGTCACACGCTGGCACATAAACTAAAACTTTTTAATAAAAAAAAAGTTTCTAAAATTACGAAGTAAATTGACTACCAAAAATGGAAGCAAAGCCATTGATGTGATGAAGGTTTAATCTGCTTTATAGGATGACTGTTCTTAGTTGTACTTCTGTATTAAAGGTAATTTAAACTTTATAAATTTTAGCTATAAAGTCCATATTTCTAAAGCTTTGTATGCAAAATATGTAAAGTGAATCAAGTAGATTATAATGGTTTAATGGTCAAGTCGTAGGCTGATGGAATTTTGTTACGCATACGAACACAAGCGCCATTAAATAAAAAATAACATGAGTTTTTTATAACAATTACTATTGATTAATAAACAAAAAAAAGTTAAAAGAAAAAGTCATTAAAAACAGTCGAACGTCTTTGATTGTCACCTCTCATTTTTTAAAATTCGACAAAAAGTGGACACACGTGTTCGACCCCATGCGGTCACATGTGGCAGAATGCATGCAATCGCTGCTGCGCTTTAAAACAGAAAAAATTAAAAAAGCAACATGCCAACGACCGCCACAGTATATATATCAAAGAATAAAATATAAGTCAATGCATTATTTATTATTAATAAATATTATACATTTTATACTTGAAAATAATTGTATTGTAACGCATACGACAGACTTTTAATATTATTAGGGTTAATTTAATGCGATGATAACCTAAAATTCTTGTTTTTTTTCCTAATTAAATCGATAATAGGTACTTAGTATGCATCGAGATAATTAAAAAACATTGTGCTACATCGTGGATTACAATTTACTTAGGAGTTTTCAATCATCATCATCATCACCAGCTCATTCTATGTCCCCACCCGCCTACCCTAAATTTGGGTGACTAGGACAAAGTCAACCACGCTGGCCAAAGCGGGTTAGTTGACTTCACACATCTTTGAATTTCTTCGCCGATATGTGCAGGCATCACGATGTTTTCCTTCACCGTAAGATCGGGTAAATTATGTACATATGAAAATTCGAAAAATCAGAATCACATTGGTACATGTCGGGATTCGAACCCAAGACCTGTAGATTACAAGTCAAGAAAGCAGTGAGCCATCGACGCTCCAAGTTTTCAATATTAATGTTTAATTAAGAGTTTATTGCATAGTAAGAAAAATCTTTCCAAAACACCTTGTTTATAACAACCGGTCTGCATTTAATCATAATCTATGTTCAATATCTAATACGGCCATCGATTGTTACCGAACGTTTGTAAATTCCGTCTTTATTTATCTTGTCAAATAGTAAAATTAATTAACTGAAATTAAGTAATGCAGAGAAATAGTGTAATGTTTCTTTACTTCTAATACATTATGCAAATTGTGTTTTTATTTATTTTTATGTTAAAAATTAAGTAGGTAATAACGTCCTTTGTTTATTTTCAATAATAAATTCAGTTATTGATTTAATTATTTTTTTTATAATTTGCGTAGTAAGTTTATATACGGATGAAATCCACAATCTTACGGTGGCAGATATAATCTGTGGTATGAATCACATCTTAGAAATTAATGAAGATATTAAGATACACATCTAAGTTACCTTTGAATATTCTAAGTTAGATTTATGTTGTTATCGAAGTTTATTAATCTATGTTCATGTTCCGTGATCTTTCATACAAATGCTCTACAAAGGATTATAGTTGTCATAGTTTAGTTCTCGGTCTTATTTTAATGTGATCAAATTCAATTTAATGTTATTTTAATTTTTTAGTCTTACTTTTATCGAAAAGTTACCGCTTTTGGCTCCTTCATTCGAAAGTCGGTACGACTAGCGCCATCTAGCGTCGAGTAGTATAAACAACGAAAATTAAAGTGATTAATTATTTTTTGACGAAAACGTAATTTAATTATTTTTTTTTGGTTTGTAAAACAAAACGTTTTTATATGAATACAATATTTTCTTAAAGTTTCATAATATTTACAATGAAAACCTTACATGTTATTGAGGTTTTTACGCTACAACTTTTTTATAACGATCAAAACTGATTAGATTTCCGATTATGACAAAAAATAAAATCACGAAAGAATGTATGGCAAGCTTATTTGTCCAATGCTCACAAATTGGCCCAACGTGGCCAAGCATTGGACTACAACTGCGTAGTGTACAAAGATCATTATTCAATTGTTAAAACGACAAACCATTAATAATAAAACTGTTGTGTTGGTACACATTGATAATATTCTAAACAGATTAAAAAATTTTTACATTTTCATTATTAAATGTAACTATTCTTTTCAAAGCATAATAAAAAAGTTAAAAAATAAACTTCGATATATTACTGGATGTATTTAAATACGTAGTTTCTTTATCTAAACGTGATATAGAAACCTTACGCGTCATACTTAACGCTTATCGATCAGAATTCCATTGTAGTAACCGTGACTGTAAGTTACGTTTAACTTATTAACTTTTCCATTAATGATGTAGACCTTGGAGAAACCTTTCCATGTGACTTTCAAGCTTATACTATTGTAATTAAGGGGGGCAACTGCCCCCTTCCCTAAGACCTACGGAGAACACCGGCTGGCGACCAGAAGGTTCGCGTGCAAATATTTTGCAAAAGAAAATACACATATCTTTGTACAGTAGTCAAGAGTATTTACCAGTGTATTTATAGTATAGTAGCTTTCGCCTGCGACTTCGTCCCCGTGAAATTAAAAATACTAAAATTGCCTATGTTACCCAGTGATAACGTAGCTTTTTAATGGTGCATGAATTTTTGAAATCGGCCCAGTTGTTTTTGAGTTATTTCAATACATACAAAAATACAAATCTTTCCTCTTTATAACATTAGTATGGAATAGCTGTTGCTCTCGACTCTTTTTATTAAAAAAAGTTAGACACTTTTTATTAAAAAAAGTTATTCGAAAATATGCTGTGATTGCTGACATCTTAGGCAACAAAGTGTGTGTTTACGCTTTATTATATTAGTATACATGAGATTATTCAATACCGGTGGCTATCTTACCATATAAATGAACCACAAAAACATAGCTATTAGCTACAGTAATCCGACCAGTTGCAGTTGATTGGCACAAAAGGGTTACGCAATATTCTAGTTGTGTTCACGTGGTTACTAACGTGGAACCGTCCACGCCGGATGACAGGAGAGCTGAGCTGTTACGTCACAGGTAAAGCCGTGTACATCCCGATATGAAGGGATTAGTTTGTGAAACGAATAGACAATTTAAAGAACCAGTAACCACTAACAAAAATGTACAATCATTCAAAACAAAGAGAACAAAGACATACCGACGAGTTGAGAATCTATTGGAAGTCGGTTAAAAATGGCGCAATTTGCGGGCTAGGCGTAACATTCATAGACAACATACATAGACTGTTTGAGGATGGTAACTATACTATTATAATAAAGCGTAAACACACACTTCTTTGTTGCCAAAGATGTCAGCAATTTCAGCATATTTTTGAATAAGTCTTTTTGTAATAAAAAGCCCTACACTCATGTACGTCATGCTTTAGGCTATATATTTTCACGCCATTAAACATAGGGGTTAATATTTTGGATAAAACCCTAATGTGGGAAAGAGACCATAAGTTGCTGCCAACATCAAGAAAGCAAAATTACCATAGTAAGGTAATTGGTATTTTGACATTTGCAATTGATTATTTGACACATGTAAACAATAAAATAACATTTTCGTAAGTTTATGCGGATGAAGTCGCAGGGGAACAGCTAGTGTGGTATATAGTGGACAGGTAAAGGCAGTTGATATAGTATAGCAAAAAAAATATATATTTTTGCATATTAGGCATTGGACAACGCTGAAATAGGAAAAAATCCTATTCCTACTTATACTAATAATGCGAAAGTTTAGATGGATGGAAGTTTTTTAGAGTTTGTAGCCTAAACGGCTGAATAGATCTGGATAAAATTTGTCATGGATGTAGAGGATAGTTTGGAAGAACACATAGGCTACTTGCTCTTGTCTTTTTTCATTCCACGCGGACTAGGTCGCGGGCGAAAGCTAGTTAAATCATAGAAGCTAATGTAACACCCAACTATTCTATATTAGATCTGTCTTATTTACATTTATCTTAGTTTTCAAAGCAAGTTAGTGTAAACTACTCCTAGGAACATCGATTATCGTAGTAATTGAACAGATCGGAGCATCCTCAGGATATTCTTGATCAACTTTTCTCGAAGGAAGATTCGAGACGGTGTGGATTGTTTTAGTAAAAGTTTTAGAGACATTAAATCACTTTAGGTTGCAATATACCAATATGAAATTCTAGAAGGCATCTAATACTGATCATCTAAAGTCGCAATATCTCTTAACATAATTCCTCTGGCTGCTTGAATTCTTCTTTACATTACTTTCTAATGTATGCAGACTCTTTATTTTTCATCAATATAAGGAGGGTTTTATGGATCGAGTTATAATGTTGCTCAACATATATCGTGATTTTCTGGACGGTGATTTTAACAATCAAGATTGAGTTACCTTTAGGGAGTATTTACACTGGAGAGAATATTTCAATTTTTAAATATGAATAGGCAAAGAAATAAGATATTTGTTTAAATCAAGTTAACTATAGTTTTTGTATGGCGTCATGTATTAGAGAATTTTTCTAATCGTAATATGTGTGTATATTTTGTATTAATGTGGAAGATGCAATCGATTTCCAGGATTTAAATCCGTGATCAATTCTACCTACCTCACTGAGGTACGGGCGTGTGTTATTATTTTTATATAATTTTATATACTTACATTTATATAAAAGATATAATAGCGATGGATAAATGTAGTATTCTAATATTATTCCACCACAATCAATGTAAGTGGTCGCTTGCAAAATCGATCTTCCTCACCACTTATGCAATTGTCTCGTAACTCCGCCTCCCGCACGCCTCGCCCGGTCTGACATTGACTTTGAACTTAACCAGATCGCGGATGTGCCGGTTTGGACGGCGATGGCGTTGGCGAAACAAATTGGCTAATGACCCGTCGAGCGTTGCCCAATACGGCGCGGAAATGTTCTTTTGTCCCGATCCTGAAGGGGGACTGGAGAAGACTGGAATATAAATCTTATAGCACAATAATCCACTTTTTATAACACAAGTAATTACATTTATAAATTATCTAACTAGAGATTGGACACGGTTCCATAATGATGTGATGTGGTTTTAAGTTGGTATTCGAAAATGCATACTATTGCATGTACCCTAGCCATATTTGGTTAATTACACTGATATTGGTAACCTGTTCTAGTGTTTTTGTGCACGACGAATAATGATTTGTATTAATTTTAAGGTCTAGTACTAATAATAATTGACCTCTGTTTATTTCTTTACAGTAATAATTCTCCCAGCGCTGCAAGAGTTTGGTATATTCCCGCAACATAAGAGCGGTTTCTTCTGCAATGATCCCGCTCTCAGCTACACATTCACGGGCGACACTATATCTGCGGCTGTCATTATGACATCTGTCATTGCGACTCCATTTGTACTGGTAAGTTTGGTACTTGTGATGTATACAAGCCTTATCTATACGTAGTATCAGCACTTTTTGTACTACTCTTATATCTCTATCAGTCGTTATATCTCATTTTACTTTCTTCTTCCGGTTCTTCGGTCTTTTTTTATCCAACTATATTCAAATCTTATTCATAAACTTGTCCATGTCCCTACGAAAGGTCTTACAGTATGTGGTGTGTGAAAATACATTTCTATCAGCCGTCATATCTGGATTCACTCCCATAAGCTTATCCTCTTTTGCACAATCCGTCCATTACTTAGATCTTCCTCTACCGTTTTTGCCATTCGTATTCATCTATATTCAATATTACTAATTTCTAGCAATTTAGTATTAATCTAATTATTTATTTCTTCTTCTCTTTTTATGACATCTTGGTACTTCTCTACGTCACTATTCCACATTAGTTCCTATTCGTAATTTTAATACAGACGTTAAAATATTCTTTTCTTTTTAGATATGGTTGACTGAGTTAATATTGTTAGACTCAGAGCAACCTATATGTCAGAAGATGCAACGTTCAGTTAAGCAGGCGCTCGTGCTATACAGGAACTACGCTTACGGCCTGGTCTTCAATATCGTAGTAGTTGAGGTTATGAAAGGTATCACGGGGAATCCAAGACCAACCTTCTTCGATATCTGTGAGCCTGATACCGCAAAGACTTGCAATGGGTAAGTTAATATCCAATATAGAAGATTGTAAAAGGGACGTTTGAAGGCGAATTTAATAGTTTAGTTTAGAATAATGTAACACTGGCAAGGCGATTCGTATAACGCCAATTCCGTACCTATACAACGCGGAAATTATCCCCTATAACGCGAACATTCTCTACAATTTAAAAGAGGAACGTCATATATCGCGATTTATGGCTTTGCTCTGCTGAAAAACTTGTTATACGGGGGGATCCTAATACGCGGAACCATAGGGGTTTACTGTATTACGTATTAGATAGCGCTGCTTGATTATGTCCGCTTTTAGCGATTATTTTTAATTCAAGAATTTATTAAATTGTTGAATTTATTCCGCCAACTTGACACAGTATGTTAGCAGACTGTTGCTATTGGTTTTCTCTAAAAAACATCTGTACAAAATACTGCTATTCTTCTCTGTCTCTTTATTAAAATAGAGACAGCAGAATATTTATGCTCAGAGGTTAAAAACAACGAAAGCAAAATGTTTTCTTACACTCAAATCGTTTTCAATTTCTCGTTAAACAAACTTTATGTGAAGTGGAAACTTAACACGTATCGATTTCGATTCGAGTGTCATAACAATTAGTCGATTCCAAACGATAATATTTTAACGCTTTCACCGAATTGTTTAAAACATACTCGATTTCATAATCGATTCGAATTCGAGAATTTTAAACATTTATTATAATGCGTAATATAATTATGAATAATACTTGTTGGTTAATGCTTATTGTCTGTGGTTTGATTGTTTTAATTCCCAACGGATTTCCACAATTGCTTCTCTTAATAACTACTAAATTAAATTATTGCATTTCATGATTTTATTACTGCTGTCATAGATTTTAAATTAAAACTTTGTGGATTCATCGCTGACTGAAATAAAGAGTCACAACTAAATCTTTTCCTTATTAAAATTTAATTACATAATAAGTATAGACAGCAACGACTAAACGAACAGAATTACATAAAACTTGTCGAATAAGAACGCCCCAACTGTGACTAAACTATCGCACGACTGTTTAATCTCGCGTCGATTCCTATGAGCTTATATGGAGGTCCGCACTTTACTCGATTTTTAGTTGTTTAAAACAGTTGAGTTGGCTGGGAAACAATCGACAGTCCCTCAACGGTTATGCGACAGTTTACACAAAGCTGGTCCTCCGCTCTGAGATTTCAAAATCATCATTTCTTTTTATAAATAGTGCAAAATTGAACAATACTCACCTATACTATTATAAAGAGGAAAGATTTGTATATTTGGATTTTTGTATGTTTCGAAATAATTCAAAAACTACTGGGCTGATTTCACAAAATATCCGCTCCAATAAAAAGCTATAACACTGAGTAACAGACTACTCATTAGTACTATTTTTTTATATCCCGCGGGCAAAGCCGCGAGCAATGGCTACTCAATAATATGAATATTAACTAATGAATTGTTTTCAGATCGGAATACGTGAGCACATTCGAGTGTACATCGACCAGGTTCTCCTCTTGGTATCAGATGGACTCCTACCACAGCTTCCCTTCGGGACACACCTCACTATCCGTCTACTGCGGACTGTTTATGGCGGTAAATATTAACATATACCCAATAAAAGACATCCCTAGCTAGTCTTTATAAGTCACAATGGCCTGCAAATAAATCTACTATCGGAGAATTTTTCGATGTTTTTAAAAAGCTAGATAGTTTGAACGTTATGTACGTTTTTAAATGTAATTTTTAACCTGTAAGAAAAAGATTAAAAACCCTGTCATTTACGTAAATCACTAGAAAGAAAGAAAGAAAGAAAGAAAGAAAGAAAGAAAGAAAGAAAGAAAGAAAGAAAGAAAGAAAGAAAGAAAGAAAGAAAGAAAGAAAGAAATCAGTTTATTAAAAAAAATGAAAAGGAATTCATTCGGCATGTGCTCGGTGTATACCGAAGCGCCGGTTTTCAATGATTCCTAAAAACAGAACACGCAGTTTTACAAAATAGTAGAAGAAAAAAAAAGACATGTAGCAAATGTTACACTCGGTCACAACTAGAAAACAATCTAAATCTAAATCTATGGAAAACTACAACATAATGACTACATAAATACTCTGCAAGGATTTTTTTTAATCTTTGTTAGTAAAAGGGGGGGATTTTTGTCTTTGGAAAGATATGTCAATCTAATAATGTGTTAATGTTGTGTCTTAGTGTTTAAGAAACGTGCTGGCATAATCTGACAGCCGCTTCTGAGCTGGGTCAGCCAATATTGACATAATGCCTACATCTGACGGGTTCTGCAAGGAATGAGTACAATTTTTCTCTTACACACCGCATGGTCTTGTACTACTCTTGTTTCCAGTGGTACTTGCAACGACGTGCATTCGACTGGCGTCACCGCAGCGTGCTGGCGGTGCCGCTGCTGCAGCTGGCCTGCCTCACGTACGCCGCGCTCTGCTCGCTCACCAGGATCACTGACCGCAGACACCACTGGTGGGATGTGCTCACTGGCGCTGTTATAGGAGTTATTTGTGTCTTTTACACTGTGAGTATCAATATCAAACAGGTCGTTTCAACTTTTACTCTTATACTGTTTGTAATTATAACAATAAGTATTATAACCAATAAGTTGCACAAGAGGATTCAGCAGTGGAAGTTCAGGATAAAATTCGTCATTTTGTGACGTCATCGTTCATTCAATAAATTAAAAATAACTAACTTGTACCCGCAAATCCGTCCCCGCGAATTTTTAAATTTTTAAAAAATAAATTTAAATCTATGTCTTATTTCTAAGTTGTAAACTCTAACAAACGTCCATCCATCTGAACTTTCACATTTATATTAGTGAGTTATAATTCCTAATAAATGAATAATATTTATGCGTAAATTTTAAACAGATTTTGCACATTCAATTTATTTGAAACATTTTAATTACATCCTTTTTTTACAGGTATTCGCTCTCTGCGATAACTTCTCTACCTTAAAAGAACAGAAAAGGGAGAAGAGGGTTATAACACCCGTACAGTCCAACAGAACTTCGATATACGACACCGGGCTGCAGGGACCTCTCACTTAAATAACTTAAACTTAAGTTAGAACTTAGGATCAATTATTAGACGTTACTAATGCAATTATAATTTCTTAATCAAATTCAATTATTAGACATGTGTAGGTAATATTTAATTACCTATAGTCAAACTAAAGTATCTGGCCCGGTGAGACATTGCGATAGGTCGATTCCGCCTCAGTGGGTAGTCGCGGTGGCAATCGCGATCCCGTGTTGTCCCACACAATGGCGAGGAGAGGTTTTTTGGGTATGCCCCATTAAGGAGACAATCCAACATAACTCTCGTCCCCACCCCGAGGCACATAAAGCATTCCCCTCTGAAAAAAAAGGTTGATTCCGCCAAAAAAATATAAAACCTTCATAGAAAGCGACTTAAAAAGAACAACATAACATTATTACAAAATCTTTTGATGTTTTTGACATTGACAGAGGGCGCTAGTGAGCTATAATTTAAGACTTCAACCGGGTCAGATAACTTGTCCGTCTATACATGTATTATAAGCAGAGCCGAGTACGATGACGTCATAGTTATACAGTCTGTAAGTTTTGTCCATACGTAAATTTTCTTAAGAGACGCTGACCTTTGATTAAACTAACGCACAAGCGTTGTGCGATTGTCGATTGTTTCGCAGACAATTCAACTGTTTATTCGCATAACTAAAAATCCAGTGTGATCATCTCCATAAGCTTATAGGAATCAAAGCAAAACTAACCACCAGAAATAGTGAATAGAATATAATTTGTTAAACGTTTGGAAAGCCATCTTTTTGATAATAGCCCTTGAATTGAATATTTTATTCATATACAGTATATTATGTATGTATTTATAATTTTACACAAAAAAAATGTCATAAAACTATCCTACACTCCAACGACACTACATATGTTATATTGTAAATTGTAACCAGCGCACCCGCGGACAAACCAATTATATGGTTGCGGGGCCATATTTGTGCATGTTTTTAATTTGTTTTCATGTAATATTTTCAATAAATAATAATAATAATAAAAAGAGCTTCGACCAACACCTCAAGAAGCTCTCGCTAGACAGTTGGATTAAGGGCCCGATTCAAAAGGCGGTTATTTTAGAAACCTCACGTATAGTGAGGAGGTCCCTAACCACTGGTTGCTTGAGTCATCGGATTCCGCAGCCGGTGGACTTCTATTTTTTTATATAATATATATTTTTTTATTTTTTTAAGAAAATCATATGAAATATATAATATATAAAAATAAGAAAATAAACATATGAGAATAAACAGTTGCGTTTAGTCAAAGATGTGCGCGCTCTGAAAGAGCATTAAAAATTCAAATGTGTTTAGCGTTCTATTATACTATGACTTTGGCATTATTTTTGTATGAATATTGTAATATGTAGGAATTGCAGAATTGTTTAAAGATTTCTACATAAAAAATCACTTTATGTGAGTTTTGTAGTCTGTTTGTGATTGTGTTATTTATTTTTAACGGCTATTTAAAGACATTTTTATAAACAGTATTAAAATAAGTTGTAAAATATGTAAATATATTTGAATATTCTTTGTTAAATCTATATTTTTGTAAACAATTATTGAGACAATAAAAATATGAAATACAAACATGTATTTTTATTACAAGGTTTGAAGACTTTCTTCTTTACTTTTTAATTTTTACTTTACTAAAATTAAATTTTTTAATTCCACTTGAAGTCGCGGGCGAAAGTTTGTCAACACTATAATACTGTAAAGAAGAAACATTTGTATTTTTGTATATATTGAATAACTTAAAAAACTACTGGACCGATTTCAAAAATTCTTTCACCATTAAAAAGCTACGTCATCAGTGAGTAATATAGGCTATTTTTTTAATTCCACGCAGACGAAGTCACGGGCGACAGCTAGTCATAAATAAAATACAAGACTACGCTCAATCATAGCACAATCTAAAGGCCCTTAGGTGTGCTAGTAATAGAACGTAATCTGTCGTTGGCCAACGCTTACGCCCATTACGTGATTACCGAAATAAGGATGTTCAGGATCGATTCTCGTGTGATGCAACGCTTTTGTACCATAACGATGATTTATACAGAACAATTTGAAGACGCAAGGATATTACTTTGTTATCTTGAATTATTTGAAATATGGGAGTCGAGAATGCTCCTCTTTAAAGAATCAAAAAATGTTAAATAGATATAAAAACTTAGGAACAAGGTCATTTTAATTGTAGGTGACATCTAGGCATTGCCAAAATCATATGTTGGCGACGCCTATATGAGATGGTATTTTTTAGTAAACAATACTATTTCCAAGCATTAGCTGCTATACAGATAACATGTGGCATTAAAATGAACTTTAAGTTAAAAGTTGTCTATTTTCCTTTGATTGACTAGTTTTTTCCCGCGTCTCCTAAGTATTATGTTCTTTCAGACTATCCTCTATATTTATGCCAAATGTCATCCTTATCGGTTCAGCTGTTTAGGCTACAAACTAACAAACATCCATCTAAACTTTCGTATTAATAATACTGTCGCGACGTCATGTATTCAAGATTCATGCCCATGGAATAATCGAGCTGTTTCCATAAAGTTCGCAGCGACATCTTTTGGAGAGTAGCGAAATTCTCGTCGAGAAGTCGAGTAACAATTAATAAGATAAGAATATAGATTACGATATATTATTTCTGTTGATTAATGTAATTGTGAATCATAAATGTCTGTTATTTTTATGTGCAACTAGCTTTCGCCCTCGAATCCGTCCGCGTGGAATTAAAAAGAAAAAAAAATCTACGCCTAATTTAATCGAGAATCGTTGAGCAGTTTAGGCTACAAACATCCATCCATCTAAACTTTTGCATTTATAATATTAGCGTGATTTATTAAATGAATCACACAAAGTAACGATTGACACAGCTTGCAATCTGATAGAATGAACAATGAAGCTAAAAGTTCATTCTTTATCTGTGGTGGGGTTGCCATACGCTTTCTGGAATGTCCCTTTGTTATACTATGGTCATAAATCGTACAAAATGTAGAGATGAAACTGTTAATTAAATAAAAAATGACAATTTGATATCTTAATGAGGTTAATTAATAAAAAAGGAAATGTGGTTCATTAGTGGGCAACATATTTATAAGATGTTTCAATTATGTTAAAGATGTTAATTAGGGCGGCGTTTATTTTACAGAAAGTTTTTTTTACGCTTTTATATTACGTCGTCTAGAACACACTCGTGTGTTCCATTCTGCCAATTTATTGTCAACATTTTAAAAAACTGCAAGCCTTGATTGAAAAGTTAATAACAAGATGGCCGCCCTACATGTGTTCCAAATCTTTGAAATGCTGTCATCTGTTATCGAATTGTGTCAGTAGACACGCGCCAAAAATAGACAATGCGGTAATTAGAGCTATGAACATGCATTATTATACTAATAATACACACATAGAAGTGGCGACAATGTTCTTAGTTATGCGCGGTTCTCACGTGGCCAGTACAGTTGATCAGTAGCACTTAATAACTGGACTGTCAATCGACTGGCACAGTGCGAACGGTTACTGGCACCACTGGGTCTATACAATCTATGATTGCCTTTTAACAAACCAACTGTATTGGCCAAGTGTAAACCGGGCATTGGGGTTGAAAATGGCTTTAGCTACCGTTATAAAAGTAGTCAAATGTCTTAGCCGCTCGGAATATCTCAGTGCCGCTAAAGTACATAGGGCGGCGTAGTGCGCTTATGATCTTGAGCAGCCTAAATATTTGAATACTGTTTCAAACAACCTTCTAATAAAAATCTTTAGTTGATCAATTCTTTTTAGAATAAACAGCATTTTAAAGACAATGAAAAAGGAAAACGCTATTCCCTTCAATTACTTATTGCAATTGAAATAAAGGTGATAATCCTGTGGCGTTCGTTTGACGCACATAAGTTGTGCCGACATCCCCTGATAGGTTTATTGTGATTTATCGGCATTTTTCTCGTCCCCCAGAGCGATTGCGTTGAGTGAATCAAATAATAGCTCTCATACAAAGTAATGTTGGGTTACAATGTATGTTTCTTTTGTTTTTTGTAACAGAAGTATCGTAGAAATCGAACGATCTGAAAATCTGAAAGATCCTTCGTCTTACAAGATGACAATAGAAGACAACAAAGATCTCCTTGTAATCTTACAATCTTACAAGATTATTAGAAAATACATTTTAGCGCTATCGTATGGCGCGAGTTTTGTACAAATGTTGGATGATCAGAGTTAAAAGTCGTTTAACTAAACAGTGTTTAATCTTTTTCTGGCTTAATACAAGAAGTGCTTAGTTACTTTCGCTGTTAATTTATTAAAATACTCCATATAAAGAACCTCAGAGGTTTAAACACTTGACTTGTAATCTACAGATCTTGGGTTCGAATCCCGCTTATACCAATGTGATTTTCGATTTTTCGAATTTTCATACGTACATAATTTAGCCGACGTTCTTACGGTGAAGGAAAACATCGTGATGCAATGCACATATCGGCGAAGAAATTCAAAGATATGTGAAGTCAACCAACCCGCAGTAGGCCAGCGTGGTTGACTATGGCCTAGTCACCCTTACTTAGGGTAGGCTCCGAGGTGGGGTATAGTGAGCTGGTGATGATGATGATGACTTCATATAGTTACAATTTTCCTTTGTAAAAACGTTAATGTATGGCGCCAACGTTGAAAAATGCATTTTAATTCTTAATTGTATACGTGCAATACTGCAGGAAACATACACGCACAGGAAAACCCTATGACTAAAGCAACATTAAAAAAAATACCTTTAACTGGTAACGATGTGGTTTCCATTCATGAGTGGTATTTTAATTTACCTATTTAGTTACTGTTTGCATATTCGTATGGTTTTAGTCGTTATAGCGTTTAGAAATAATTATAGAACTTACTATTTTTGGTCTGATACTTAGCGCGGATTTAAAAACAGACTAAGGACTTTTTTGCCAAATTGTAAACGTCTGATAACAATCGAACGTGGAAAATCGGATCGTGATGGAAATATCGGATTTTGTTCCCTTATCTGACAGTGTCGCATTTTTAAGCTATCAGAGCCTTTATCAGCCAGTGGTGGGACATCGCCTTAGTCGCTTTTGTGTTCTTCCTGATTATGTCTAACATACATGCATACAAACTTTCAGATATGTAATATTAACTAACTAGCTGTTCGTGTGCGGATTCATTCGCGTGAAATTATAAAAACTTTATTTTATTGTTTACATTTGTCAAATCCTCTATTGCAAATGTCAAAATTACAATCCTTAGCAATCTTTCTTTCTTGATGTTGGCAGCAACTTATGGTCTCTCCCCTTTTAGGGTTTTTATCCAAAATATTTACCCTTTAAGTTTAATGGCGTGAAAGTATCTAGCCTTAAGCATGACGTAAGTGTAGTACTTTTTATTAAGAAAAGAATTATTCAAAAATATGCTGTAATTGCCGACATCTTAGGCAACAAAGAAGTGTGTGTTTACGCTTTATTATAATAGTATATATAGTATAGATAAGAAGTATCTTGTAAATGTGTTAATGAACTCTTTAGTAATGTATAATTATTTTGCGGTCTGTTTGTTACATTTAGTTGATGGGCAAAAACGTCATTTGATGAGATATCACAATGGTGTCGCACATTTGCAATTAAAACCAATTCCATGTGATTATTTTAGCAGAATTTTGTCGTGGGTCAATGAACTTTTAAGTAGTGAATCTATAGAAAAAATCTTTTAACAATTCTTTCATAGAGAGCCCAACTTTAGTCCCTTTTCCTTCCCACCCTTTTTGTTATAAGAAAAGAATGGAACGAGAACATGGACTTAACGCTTGAAGAGACGCATAGGAAGGGGACATATCCTCTTCATGTCTGCCCTTCCGTCGATAAGGGTAGGCAACGCATCCGCTATTGCGAATGTCTATGGGCAGCGGTCGCTTTGCCAGTTTACCGGATTCAGGTGACGGCTTGCTTGTTTGCCAACTCATGATATAAAGAAATCTATACTTTGCTGTAAGTAACAATAACAAAAATATATGGATTGACTGTCAAAATATTGCATCAACGTTTGGGATTAAATAAATAAGCAATCGAAATATAAAACAGCCGGCAATCTTTACGCGACATCTACCAACTGTTTTCGATACGAAAACGAATGTGTCTCCAACGCTTTATTTATTTAGGGACAAACATCCGTTAAAATTATTATTAGTAACAAATAAATGTAATAATCATTATATTTGTGAAAAAAGTAAATTTAAAAATGAAAGAATTCCATAAATACGTGCACATACGCGCGAAAATCATTACGTCGGGCAAATAGAAATTCCGCTGTCATTCATATCGACCATAGACAATCGGAGAATTGAAAAAAATGCAACCTCAATGGTTAATCAATTCCATTTATAAAATGATTGACAAACAATGGTCGAATTATAATCATGCACCTCCCTCCTGAATGCATATGGCCTATTCGTTGCCTAGGACGAAAACATGGCTCTATTAGCATAGGCGGATGGTCCGTTAGGTCTATCTAGGCACGGGGCGACAACCTCTTATTAAAAGAGGTTAGTGACGTCATCAGACAGTTATGCCCATTTTGATTTTTATTGTCTATTGTCATTTGTTTTATAATTTTAAAATTAATTTGATTATTCTGGAGTATTAAATATCTTATCTTACTAATATTACTAAATACGAAAGTTTTTATGGATGGATGTTTGTTAAAATTTGTAGCCTAATTTGCTGAATGGATCAAGACGAAATTTGGCAAAGATATAGAGGATAGTATGAAAGAAGACATAGGCTACTTACTTTTTTTTTAATACCAGGACGAAGTCACGGGCCAAAGCTAGTATTAAAATAAATTAGTTCCTCGGTGACATTTATTCTTCTTTATATTTCGATTTTAATATTAACTTGCTATGCATGTGTTTCTTTAAGTTATGTAACTGTTATTAGACTTTCAAGCTTCAAATGTTATCCATAAAAATTGAAGACTTCTTAAAATAAAACTTGACTCTTAAGTGAAGTGTCAAAAAAGTAACATGCAGTTGACAGGCTCTAATAAAAACTTAGTTTGAAGTTATTTTAGGTTATACTCGGTTGTTCTGAAATAGAATTTTAATGCAGACGACTAAAAATAAATATGGTTAGTATCTTTCAAATGTTCGTTTTTTTAGTAGTGTATGGTTATAGTTTCCGTATAGTTTTAGACAAAAAAAAAGCCGTAATATGACAACCGTTAAGGCTTGTTCCACCACTGGCTGATAAAGGAACGAAATCAGATATTTCCATCACATATTTTTCACGATGTATTGTTATCACACAATTTACAATTTGATCAGGCTCTTAAAGTTATAAAGGTTTTATGGAGAGTAGAATCGTTTAATTATAACCTAACAATCTATACTATTATGAAGAGAATGATTTGTATTTTTGTAAGTAACAAATAAACTCAAAAACTACTCGGTCTATTTCAAATATTCTTAAAACATTAAAAAGCTACATTATCACCGTGTGATTCACGCTATATTTATTACTTCGACTTTTAATTCCGTGTGGACAAAGTCGCGGGCAAAAGCTAGTTGGTTACAAAAAAACTACACGGTCTAATAATGACAGACGACAAAATCTAATTATTTTTTTTCTTTCGGTAGCGATGACGTGCATAAACCTGTCAGAGCAACTGGGGGTGTCTGTGGTGAGATTTATTTGTAACGGACTGTGTGTCAGGGTGTCAGTTTGTTTGTGTAGGCCGCAACTCTACTAGTTCAAGTGCAACTACGACAACTGTGGAGTCGAATAATTTTTCATTTTACTTTTTTATCATAACCTTAAAAAAATCTTATAACTGTGTTTTTAATAGAAAACATGCAATATGTTTTGCTACACTAAATATAGTCGATTAGACTAACACATTTTCTATAACATAACATACTAGCTATCGCCCGTACTGCTAAATTTCATGGAGATACGTTCAGCCGTTTAGGCTACAAATTCTAACATCCATCCATCTATCTAAACTTTCGCATTTATAATATTAGTAAGATTAAGCGCATAATTGAACAACAAAAGGCTATTTAAATTTTAACATAACTATAGGATAGTCTAGAATTACAATAGCTAGGGACAAATTAATAAAAAAAATATGAACTCCATTCGTTCCCCTGTTCCATGCCTCGCATTGTTTGCTAACTAAGCGGGGATCATCTCGTTTACGTCCCGGCACCAAACAAAAGGATTTCTTTACAATACACCAACGCTGTAAATAGTCCGGCCCCATAAATATACCGCGGCCGCTGACGTTTGCTACATGCTTTGCCGGCCTACACTATTGCTAGGACATTTTTTTTTAAATTAAAAAACTCTTTAGTTTAATGGCTACTCCCAGTATTTCTGTTCTAAAGGTCCGTTTACACTAGAGGCGTAGTATTAAATAATTATTTAACACTATTTTTTCAATTATCCAGTTATTATAATGTTAGATTTTTAAACCGGAATTTGAAATAATGTTTACTCTATAATCGTATCTTAACGCCATCTGTCGCCGACTAGAGATAAAAAGAAGTGCACTTTAAACAACGGTTTAAAGGCTGGCAATACCACAGTAATATTTATACGGGTCAAAATGTTAAGGAATGCTTTCTTAAGGCTCTGCCACACCTTAACGTGTTACTGAAGTGTTTCAGATTTATTTATAGAAGCGATTGATGGAGTGATTTGTCTACAAAGCTTACGTAACTAAAGTATTTTTAAAGAGCGCAAGGCGGGGAGCTGCCTTATTTATCCCGATGATAGGTTAACGAAGAAACTTAATGAGATGCTTCGATTATTTATTAAATACTTGCTTTGCCCGCGACTCCCTCCACGTGGAATTAAAAAAGTAAGTAGTCTATGTGTTCTTCCAGACTAACCTCTACAACCGTGCCAAATTTTCAGCCGGTTAGGCTACAAACTAACAAACATCCATCCAACCCTCTAAACTTTCGCATTTAGAATATTAGTTAGATTTCATCAAATCGCTGCAGATTAGATCAGATAAAACTATGTATAACTAAAAAATATATCATTCGTATAAAAATGAGCAAACAATCACAAGAATACATAGAAAGTACCAGGCACTCATGAAATGCATGCAGCTTCGAAAACTACATTCTCTTGATAAGGACTGCAACTAATTTAACAAATGCTATCAAATGAATAGATTTTATATAATAGTAGACCTTATTGCTTTCGCAACAAGACATATTTGTATATCAAATGACAGCAGAATAGGTTTGTCGACGAGAGGCATTGACGAGCTCTCCTATTGTTTTCGTAGAGAACGGTTCAGCATTCTGAACGATGCTCAAAGCAACCCACTTCGTGTGCACACTGTGAATTGATTCTATTTCCATTTCAATACGTTAAACGACAAAGTATAACCAGTAAATAAATAATATAACATAATAATAATTAAATAAATAACAAAGTAATTATGACGTGCACAAAAACAATCAATATAAGCAAATCTACTGTTATTGCTGTAGACAGTCCGACCTTTGTACAAATACGACTAATTGTAAGAAGAAACAGTATGTACAAATATTAACAGCTTGGGATAATGAAAACGTGTCCGATAGAAAGCTACGAGATCAAAGCGACTTATGACGGAAGCGAATCTCGACAGTTTTCCCCAAGTCTCCTTCCCTCGTAAGCTTTTGTGTTCCTTCACATGCTTATTACGAGTGTCTTTTTTCACCTTTAGAATTCTCACATATATACTGTATTTCCTCGTGAAGACTAGTAGACGTTTATTGTGATATCTAGCATCTTATAAAATTAGCTGAGACTGTTCATTGTTTTAGATTAAGACTAACTTCTCGAATTTACAAAGTGACCTTGAACTCTCCGCCGTTCAAGTGCGAGGATATGCCAAAACAGAGGGGACCAACGAATTGGCTAATCGGCCAATTGGCCACTCTTCCTCCATTCTTTGCGTCACTTACTAAATGATTTACGACGGCACAGCCGGTAGAAGCGGCGCGTGTAAGTTTTATCATTCTTTTACATGAACAATATTAAGATATGAAGATAATAATATAAACTTTCATTGAAATGTAATGATTAAGTGAAGAGAGTATAATAAAATGGTAGAATAGTATAAATGATTCGGCAATAAAGCCGAGGACTCTTTTTGTAAGCGCCTGTCGATAAAGGAAACAGATTTACTTATTTAAAAAATATTATGCTGCCTGAAGTAAGGTGAATCTTCAAGACCATTTTATGAAGTCTCTAGTGTCATAAACTATTATCAGATATTAGATTTCTTTCATATTCGTAGGTATGTTTAATAAGCGAACATCACATTAATAGGCTTTTATTGGATCTGTAAATATGTTTTTAATTTCATTAAAAATATTCGTCCTTTGTCGAATTGTTTTCACTTGTCATTTTTTTTATACTGGCAATAATTCAAAAACTTGGCGCGCGTAGTTGTCACTTGTCAACAAATGTCAAACTCAAAAGTTTGAATTATAACGTAAAATTATATTTCTTAACATTTTATATTTCTAAACAACGTTGTTTCAAATGTTCAACAATGAATACTATAAATGATGTAACTGATAAGGAATTCATTCCTTTTCTGCACAGTTTGGGCGTAGAAACTTATAATAAGTCTTTTGAATGGATGCTGCAAGATCCTGATTTTGGTGGTGCTTTGAAGTGGCTTTATAGGAATTTGGACCATAACAATGCCTTGACTGCTCGTGAAGAATACAGGTTAGTTATTAGTTGCTTAATTTTCACACAAATACGTTACAATATATGTATTTATTGACAATGAATTGGATTGTTAAAACAGGTTCAAAGAACTAGAGAAAAATAAATGTTTACTGCCCGTTGATGAGTTGGAAACTGCAATCTCATCGCTACAAGAAGAGTTCGAAGGTTTGTGTCTACCAGGAGACCAGGATGCCTTAGAGGATATGAAATTAGACATAAGTATGCACAATGATAGACTGGATATGTTATTAAAACATGAAGAAATAGTGAATGATTTAATTAAACAGAATCAGTAAGTATTCAGATTGGTGTATTTACTGTCTTACTAATATACATGCAGAAGTTTACATAGATAAATTTTAGTTACTCCATATCTCGGGATTAGCTGAAATTTGGCATATATGTATAGCATAATGTGGAATAATACATAGGTTTTATTCTGCTCTGATGGTGTTATGAGCATTACATTCCTCCATACTATGTCATACATGTATTTCAAAATTTAGATGTAAATAAGTCTATTGAGTCATTCTGGAAATACTTTGTAACATCCATCCATCCATCTAATTAAACTATTGCATTTAAAACAGTATTGCTATGCATTATCGAAATATTATTTTACTTTATCTGAAAATTCTCCCAAAATTGATTAAATACTGGGATTTCATGTACTTCATTGAGGCTCTTGTTTTTTTTTTTAATTGCACTTGAAATATTTCCAGTTTAATGAAAGATGAACTAGACATAGAGCTGACAAAATTAAGTGCAAAACAACATCAGTATAAAGATGATGAAAAAAGCTTGGGCGAGCAGTGCATCACCCTTGCGGAGGAAGTGGACACTATTGTTGATGATGTATGTGATGTTATAGCTAACAACTTAAAAATGGCCAGTTCTACAGATGAGGTAAGTTTAATATGCAATAAGCTTGCGCCTGTGACTCCGTCTGCGTGGAATTAAAAAAAAAAACAAAAGGTAGTGGCCTATGTGTTCATTTAGACTATCCTTTACACCTATACCAAATTTCATTGAAATCCGTTCAGCCGTTTAGACTACAAACTCTAACAAACATCCATCCATCTTAACTTTCGCATTTATAATAAGTATGATAAAAAAAGTACAGTAAACTGTATAAATATTTATACACTAGCTTCTGCCAGCGACTGTACATGTGGTATTAAAAATAGCAAAAGCGAGTAGCCTTTCTGTTCTATCACCTACATCTATGCCAAATTTCATCATCAATTCAGCAGTTTAGGCTACAAACTAACAAACCCATCCATTTAAACTTTTACATTTATAATATTAGTAAGATTTACAAATCTTCCTAAACTTGTATACCTTTGGTGTCTAAAATATGCATAGATTTATCTCTCATTTTTTTAAAGTATAATTATTATTTTCCAGGAAATGTCTAGCAAATTCTTTGCATTTGGTCCCTTTGATGCTTACAAACAGTCTCAATCATTATTTATGTCACACTTTGACCTCTACATCTCCAAGCGACTGACAAACAATCATCCGGAAAGGACTTCAGATCAAGATCTACAAAGAATATTAAATGAAGCTGCTAGTTTGGAAGAAAGGTTAGTGCATCATTTTATCTCCAGTAACAAACTCCCTTGATTGGATGGAGTTTTTTGTAGCAAGAAAATATTAAATGTTACCACACTAAAAGCTAAATCTCAGGTATTTTTCTCTGAAATAGTTTAGTAATTTTTTTAAATTAGTTGTTAGTGACACTTGACACTAGAATTAATGGTTACCTTTTTTGAGTGTTAGTTTTTTATTATGTTTTTAATGTAAAATCCTTAGTGAAATTCTATAGCCTAATTGATTTATCCCATTTTAATGATTGAGGTGTCATTTGTTTAGTTTAGTATATTGTTATAAATTTCGATAGAAATGACTATTCAAAAAATATGACAGTTGGATATGAGGAATACTGGTGAATTATTATAAAATGAATACACTAAGGCAACTACGTAAAAGATATCGAACGTTCCGTGGCGACTACTAGAAATGTACTGAGCTACTGAGCTCCTGAGCGACTGAAGGAACTGAGGTACTGACGGCTAGAGAGCTTGTTAGCAACTGAATGCAACTGAGAGACAGCTGATGAAACTACCCCCAACTATTACTTCCATTTCTATTATTTTGTAACAATATTTTATCAGCATAAAATATAATTACAAAACAAAAGGCTTGAATACCATAAACTGACTTTATTTTTCTTATTTTTTTTTGTTAAATGAGTTTTTTTATGTATTCCAGGCTATCGGATGTTCTATGTACATACATCTCCACCAAAGCAGAGTTATGTGGGGAGCAAGCCAAACTAGCATTGGTTAACAATTACATGCTTCATCCTAATAGAATATCGTAAGTATACATTATAATATAATCAACATGTAGTGCAATTTACTAGCTGAAAAATGTCCAGAACCTATAACTGAAAACTATATTATTTCCAACCTTTCGCCTAACTGACGCGACTGAGCGCCGAGACTGCGACTGAGCGCGAGCCACTCCTTGCCATATATTTTTATAAAACTACCCTCCACTATTCCATCCATTTCCGTCACTAAAAGCTGACTTCATAATAAATATACATTTAATAATTAAAAAAAATAGAGAAAATACAGAAATTTGTATACTCATTCAGTTTCAAAATGTATCCTCATACATCTATATGCTTTCGAAATTAAATACAGTCAGCTGTATACAATTGTATATTTAAAAATCCTCACAAACTTGTTTACTGTCAGTTTCAAAAATATGTAAACCTACAGTTACACTTCCCACTATTAATATTTCATTATTACATAAATATATTTTTAATTTCTAGAACTTGAATCCACATAAAAGTTGGCAAATTTCTTTAAATGTTCATATATTATACAGCTGACTGTACATGCCTTTAACTGATTTATAAAAATAACTAGCTTTTGCCTGTGACTACATCCGCATATAATTAAAAACAGTAACCTATGTGTTTTTTTAGACTGCTCTACATCTATGCCAAACTTCATTCAAATCTGTTGAGCTGTTTAGGCTACAAAATCTAATAAAAACCCATCCATACATACATCCATCCATCTAAACATTCATTTATAATATTAGTATTGTTGTTATATTTGTATATTCCAGTGCGTGTTTATTAGAAGTGCAAAGTTCTTTAGAAATCCTGCAACAAGAGGAGACAATATTAGACCAACAGCTGCAAGAAGCTATACTAAAGTTTGTGTCATCTCGGACAAACCTCGCTGTGGAGACAGCGGCAAGGAGTGCACTTTGTATTAGGAAGTAAGTATAAATCTCAGTTATTATGGTTATGGTAGTATCTATAGTTATTTGGTTATTAAATCGCCTATTTAAATGTAGATAAAGAAATTGTTAAAAAGCTTAGCTTCCTTTTCAACTAAAACAACATTAAATTATGTAACAGTGTCAGTATAACGCCACGCTAAAATTTCAAATTCAATTTAAATGTTGTCCTCGAACATATTGTAAGCAAGCTTATGATGCGAAAAGTTTAACTATACAGTGGTAGTGCTCGCTTTACCATCTTAGCACTGCAGGGCACGCCCCCAGTAATACCATGACCACACAGAAGACAGGCGTCAAATGGAAGCAATTCCGAGTTTCGTCTGATGAGTGTGGTGCCGGAGGCCTAATTTAAGTCCCTTTCTCTTTACCACCTTTTCTTATAAGGAGAGAATGGAAGAAGTGGAAGGGGAAATATCCTCTTTACGTGCGCCTTCTCTGTTCAGATAAGGGTAGGCAACGCATATGCTATTGCGGATGTCTGAGGGCTTGTCATTTGTGCGGATTCTAGTGGCCGCTTGCTCTTTGCCACCTTATGTTATAAAAAAAGGACAGTGTGTTATTTACATTTCGCTTAAATATACATCAACCCCTTACTGTAACAGCTGGTGTGGATTTTTCATGGTAATACAGTCATTCCTTACTTCATGTACATTTTGTATTTCTACACTAAGGAACTAACTTAAATACTTCACAGTGTAATCTTTTATATTACTCATGTAGTAATTATTTATTTTCAGGCAAGTTCACAGTGATTTGGAGTTTTTAGTAGAATGTGTCCAGCAAGCGCTGCACATAGACAAGATAGTGTACAGTGCGCTGCGAGCGGAGCTGTGCGCGCTGGAAGAGTTACTGCGATTCGCCTCACATATGAGGACATATCTAGTTAATGATACTGAAGCCATCAATAATAGGATTGTATGTATTTAAATTTGTTTATTATTTTGCTCGTGAAAGACCGAAAAAAGTATGGATGGATTGTGTGAAAGGGGATATGCTTAAGAAAGGAGTGTATTCAGATATGACGGCTGATATAGATGTAGGGAAAAGCAGCACATACTGTGCCGACCCTTCGTAAAGGATAAGGGCAAGTAGATGATGATGATATTTTGCCCGTGACTTCGTGCACGTGAAATAATAAAAAACGTAGTCTATGTTACTCACTGATACCGTTTTTAATGGTGAAAGAATGAAATCAGTCCAGCAGTTTTTAAGTTATTTTAATACATACAAAAATATAAATATATCCTCTTTATAATATTATTATGGACTAGCTGTTGCTCGCGACTGTCCGCGTGGAATTAAAAAAATAATAGCACTACTTATGTGTTCTTCCAGAGTCCCCTCCACATTACAGACTAGTTGTAATAATTATTATATTGTTTTGTGTATAGTGTTAAGGCCCTTATATTTTTTTCTTAAAAATTTAGTATATGAATAGTAATCATTCGTTACATTTAACACGTTACAGTAAATATTTTCGCTCTTTAAGCGAATTGCAAACTTTTACTATAAATAAGCTTTCGCCCTCGACTCAAACAAACTCTTATAAACATCCATCTGAACTCGCATTTATAATAGTAATATTTCATATACAAATTGTTATAATTTCAGGATTCGATGAACGATATCTGTAGTCAGCAATTACTGAAACAGCGATTGAATACCAACATTGTTCAGCAGACCTTATGTACTTTGTTATGTACTGAGAGTGCTGATGTACTTGTAAGGGTATATAATGAACTGATATATAATATACGAAGTCTCAGTGAGGAGGTGGCTGATGGCTTTAAGAAGAAGGAATCCGCGATAGCTGCGTAGTAAGTTTTTTTTAATGTATTAACGACGTGAAGTCGGTTTTTTTATTACTTAATGGTAAAATAATGTGGAAAAATGTGCTAATTTACTTTGTCAAGGGTCTACTTTAAAATCTATTAATGACGGAAGTAGTGGTTCAGATGAATTTTAAAATCTGTAGATGTTAAAATACATTAAAAAGAGATATTTAACCCTTATGGTTAATTTTAATAGTAAACCGTACATACAATTACATATAAAAAAATGTATAATACAATTAAATATTTTTTTAATAAGTTACACTTACACTTTTTTGCTTTTCTTAAAAAAGCAATGTTACTATGATAGAGGTTAAAATCAAAGAAAGAATTATATGTTTACATTTTATATTATTAGTACAAATACATTTAAATAAAAGACGTGGTGAACAAAATTTATCACCGGTACTTTTTCTGTAACAATTTATTTTTCAAGATTAATGCCACCTCGTGTCTTTTGACATATAATAAAATATATAACAAAAATTGTAATAAGCGCCATCTATTGTTTTTTTAAAAAAAACTAAACTTGCAAAATATGAACTTTAATTAGTTTTAGCGACATCTATTGGCGATTACAAATAATTGTTGGAATCTATTTGAGAACCCGATCAATAGATGGCGTTGATATATTATGTACGCAGCTGGTCTTCAACATCGACGCTCCGCGCGTACTTGTACGACGGCAGCGGTCGCCACGTGCGGCGAGGCGGCGCCGCGCAGCTGCTGCACCGTCTTACTGAAGAAATAGCTGCTGTCGATGATAAAGTGCTGGCAGCTAGCGGGACATTTGCTACTGTTAAGGTGATATTAATGTTGTAGTAAAACCCGCTTTAATAGGTTAGTGTAGGGCTTGTCCTAAGCAATATCATAACTATATAATACAGGCGTGAAGTGGAAGCAATTCCGCTGATGAGTGTGCTTGAGGGTATACCGTAATGATTAGGCACAGACTTTGCTGATTTGTTGGGGATTAAAAGAAAGATTTTTTTAGTAAAAGTACTTTTTTTAAAGGGAATGCTTATGAACATGTCTAAATTTTTACTATAAATCTAAAAATCGTTTTTAAGTTATCTATTTGGATGTAGGGTCTTTAATATTCTAGTTCAATTGTTACTCATATTTTATAATTATCTAGATTTAAACCTAGGACCTGTAGATTTCAAGCCTTGAACCACTGTTCGACCTTCGTCATACAGATTAGCTTATTTTTAGTCTTAACTAGACTTTATATTATTTTTAATAGTTTTATTTATGGTTTTCAGAAAGAGGACAAGCACAGTTTACGTAAATTCTGGCAGTGGTTCCTCGTGGAGCAGTCGCGACTGCTGGCCGCGCTCAGAGCGGCGCAGCCACGAGGACATTTACCTTGATTTCTGATATTTACTCTCAAAATAATAATAAATCTAGTTATAAATATAGCCTATGACGCTCGGTGATAATGTAGGTTTCTAATGGTGAAAGAATTTTTGAAATCGATTCAATAATTTTTGAGTTTATTCGTTACATACAAAAGTAAAAAAAAAACCTTTCCCTTTAAAACATAAACTAGCTGTTGCTTGCGATTTCGCCTCCATGTAATTAAAAAAAATCAATAAAAACCATAGCCTACTCAATGATAACGTAGCTTTTAATGGTGTAAGAATTTTTGCAATCGGCCCAGTAGTTTTTGAGTTATTTCAATAAATACAAATCTATTCTGTTTATATATTTGTAAATAACTATTATGCTTTTAATAAAACTTCTAAAACATTTTATTAATGTAAATAAAACAGTAAATTATATAAAAACATGTATTTATATTTTAATAATTACAATAATAAATAGGTACTAGTGATCACAATGTTCGCAGTCAGCACCAAGCGTCTTAAACTAAGTGTATACTTATAAAATAAGTGATTTGACAATTCAGCACATTTTAGACAAAATAACTAAGTCTGAAACAATTAAATTGTCTTATTTTGGTCATAAATCGAATTATTTGAAACATTCTTTGAATAATATTGAGTTCTAAACACTTTCAAGGACATTGACAAGGTCACTGTGAAAGTTATTTTTGTGGTATTCAAAGTGTTAAGTGGGTGCATATTTTCCATCTCTGCCAGTCCTTTTTAGCGAGTCTCAGTCCCATGTAGGTCGTGGTATTTTCCTCATAAATGTATCTTCAGGCGCAATATGTATGGGATTGTTGAAGTCTATCTCTATATTGTCGGGTATAGAATCATAATATATGATATGTTCACCGGTTTTACCTGTAAATAAAAAAATAATGTATCATACGTTTTAACTTAAACGTAAAAATTGGTAAAGGCGTCGATTTATTACCTACACGTCTGTAGCAAGCCTAATGTAAGTACTAACTTACAAAAATCTTACTAATATTACAAATGCGAAAGTTGAGATGGATGGATGTTTGTTAGAGTTTGTAGCCTAAACGGCTCAACGGATTTTGGTGAAATGTGGCATAGATGTGTCTGGAAAGACACATATTGGCTATTCACTTTTGTATTTTTTTAATTCCACGCGGACGGAGTCGCGGGCGAAAGCTAGTAAATAGTAAAATTATGAATTTATCCTCTCTACTCTTTATTTTTTTTTTCACAAAAAAGTAACATTTTTAAATCTTACTAATATTTTAAATGCGAATGTTTAGTTGGATGGTTGGTTTTTTTTATTTCTATGGCTAAAAGGGATGAAAGGCACAGTTATAGAGCAAAGTCTGAAAGAACCAAGACTACTTTTTTTCCACGCGAACAGGGTCGCGGGCGATAGCTAGTCAAACAAAAACTCACCAGTAAAATTCAAAGCAGCAATAATATCTTGCAAATGTAATTGATCTAGATTGGCTTTGACAGTCAGTCTGTTGCGATGCAGCGCGCGGCGATGGCGGGACGTCCTTCCTCGTGGTAGTAATGGTAACGTAAATACTGATTCTGATAGTGGCGTGTCGTCGGCACCGAACTCCTGTAGTCACCATATTTTATGATGCTTACAACATATGGTAAAAATATAAAATTTATAACACGGAAGAGATAGTTACTACTTGATATAGCAATTGTGACAACATAATGGTAATGCTGTTATAATCACCACAAAGTGCTAATGAGAGATTGACTGTCATACTAATATAAATGCAAAAGTTTAGATGGATGGATGTTAGAGTTTGTAGCCTAAACGGCTGAACGGATTTCGATGAACTTTGATATAGATGTGAAGGATAGTCTGCAAGAACACGTAGGCTACTCACTTTTGTTTTTTTAATTCCGCTCGGACGAAGTCGTGGGCGAAAGCTAGTGTGATATACAAGTTGTTTTCTAGATAATACATTTAATACGTAATTAAGTTTTAGTGCTGTGATATTTACTACAAAAAATATGATAATTACCATGAAATATCACATATATTGTAGTTCTCATGAATAGTGCTGTTCGTATTCTTTATGGTTTAGTCCTTGTACAAAACATACCAAACACTTTCCGCTGACGCAATAGGAGGAGTTCCGCTTCCCGCAGGATGTGCCGAGCGGGAACCAGCCCTCCTGACCGTTCACCAGGTAGAAGCGGTGTGCTACTCGCTCGTCTTGACATGCAACACGACATGGACGGTCTGGTTCCTCTGAGAAAAAAAATCACGTTTTATTTCATTACACGCTTAGGGTTGTCACTTGGCATATCTTTTGTATAGCAGATATTATTCAGTGTTACCTAGTACAGGCGATATCTGCATGCCCAACCCTGACAGCCGTCTCACTCTCTCCTTGTACTTAGAGCAAACCATTGTCGCGTACTGGTAAGGTGACTTTCGTTGCAAACAACCCTGGAAGGAATTACTACGTTACAGTTATTTACGTTGCGGTTGCGAGAACGTATTCGTTACATTTTCGACATTTGTATGAGATTTTTACGCTCGAAAGAGTGTTGTACTCGTACGTTACCGTTGCTACAAATATTTGAGACTATTGTTGCTCGTGACTCCGTCTACGTGAAATTAAAAAATAACAAAATATATAGCTTATGTTAGTCACTGATAACGCAGCTTTCTAACGGAGAGAGAATTTTTAAAATCGGTCCAGTAGTTTTTGAGTTATTTCAATACATTCAAAAATACAAATCTTAACTCTTTATAATATTAGTATAGGTAAAGTAGATGTACTAGTACTAAGTACTGACGAGTTCTGGTCTCGCGGCGTCTGGCCGGCACAGCTGTATGGTGGTGTGCCGCGCCGAGCTGACCAGCCGCACGCCGCTGCCCGGACTCACGCAGTGGTAGTGGCAGCCGCTGGCCGCGCGCCACTTCGACCCCACCGCACGCCGCCACGTACCAGATGTCTTTGTTCTGGAATAACGTTTATAATACTCCTAGAACTAATTATCACAGTAAAGTTCTTGAAACCAATGGTGGAGATAGATATTTAAGAAATATATAGACTAGACATAGTGAACAAATTTTTTTCACTGGCAAATTCTTTGAATGGCAGATGCTGTCAAGTGTAATACGCCATAACTATAGGAAATTTATCATAATACAATTAATTACATTTATGTGTGGACCTAGATAGTGTTAGAGAGATCATGTCAAAAATGTCTCATGTGAAGAGTCAAATATGCTTCCTCTATATATTTTTAATCTCTTTGTGTGAAGGATTGTTGATTGTTTAAAGAAAAATATTATTAGCAAGATAATTTACAAGATAGTCTGAGAAAATGGCTATCTTACGTGGTGACGGTATGTGGAGTAGCAGTTTGTAGTTGCAGTGCCTCCCATTCGCAATCGCCGGGTTTCAGCGAAAACTCGTTGTCGCTGCTCGAATCGCAGGTGAATTTCTGCCAAAAACACAAGAGTAACCTCTGAATTTTGCACAATCCTTGATACTAACGTAAATTTACCATTGCATTTTTAATGTTTAAGGTCCATCTATAGTATAGACAGTAGCACTGATATTAATACAGTTTACAAACTCTATATAGACTAGTATAGAGTCCATGCAGACTAGTATAGACTTTAATATAGACTTTATACCAAATTGCATTGATAGCGTCATTAATTAAGGCCTTGCTATTACTTCTGGTAGACTGACCCGATAATTACGAAGCGGTTTAGACATGGAAAGAGCTACAAGTGTACTCTAGCATTGTCGCATGGTACCTGACAGAGTCCGGAGATGCAGAACATAGGTTGTGTTCTCGAGCACGCGGTACCATCAGGCAAACTCCAGCCGCGAGACTTGTAACCGCCTCCGCGCGTGTCGCACCATACTGCACAAGCGCTGCTCACGTCTGGAAGTATATGTTCACTGTTTTATCGCTTGGCAAGTTTACTTTATAAAAAAAAAAAACAAAAACAAACCGCATAAAAGGACCAACGAAAGGCCTAATATTAGCCCCTTTCCTTTCCAACCCTTCGCTTATACGGAAAGGATGGGAAGGGAAAGTGGATTTGGCGATGGAGGAGACGCAAAGGAACGGGAAATATCCTCTTTATGTGCGTCTCCTCCGTTGTTTAAGGGTAGGCAACGCATCTGCAATTGCGGATTTATATGGGCAACGATCGCTTCGCTTTTTCGCCTAGGCCGCTTGCTCGTTTGCCAACTTACAATATGTATATAAAAAACCGTCTTTTTGGACAAGTAAGCTTATCAACATTGTAGACATATTGGCATATTTCGCATTAAGAAGTTAGTTAAGAACTAGTTACCCTCTGAGTCGATCCTCTGCAGCCCAGTTCCTATAAGGTCAGGGTCGACATCGCGCGCACGCAAGCAGATTTGGTCAGCAAACTCGCGCACCGTCATACGTGGTACTTTGTTGCACTGGAACAATATTTTTTTATTATAACTTCTATATTGATCAATTTCTATTCTCTTATGAGATATCTGACTTACTTGTTGTGCATGACAAGACTGATATTTCTTGTCGTGACCCGTGCAGTAGTTGTTTCCGTTATCATGCCTGGAATTAAATACTTAACTATGAAAATGGCATAATATAAACTAATTACATTGTATTCATCACACAGAACATTGGACTCAAAGATGTCAACCAAGGTGGTGTAGCTCGTGTAAAGACAATTCAGTTTTCCACTAACGAAAGGATTTTACCTTGAAGCCAATATTACTCTTATAATAAATCAAGCGCCAATAGACTAATGGTTTGGAGTATAGACTACTGATCTTTGGGTCAAGGGTTTGTATCCTGCCATTCGACTATTGTCGTGAACCATATAGCATAAGACTAAAGTTCAGTTAGAACGGTTAAAGTTAATAATAGTAAATTAAAAAAAAGTCCATTACAGTGATCATCTCTTAGACGAGAAGTGTTGTGACGTCACTAACCTGGGTCGGTTACACCTGCGCGTAGCGACAGCAACTCCGGCAGCGGCGGGCGCGTGTTTATCGTCCAGTAGACAAGCCGAGGCGCACTCCGACCAGAGCGACCAGCGACCCCACGCGCCACGCCCTGAGCGCACAGTACCCTCGCGTTCCACACATGCACCGCCACGGCAGTACTAAACACAGAGTTAATTACAGTTAATATTATCTTCTAATTACATAAGCCATCAAATGAGTGAGACAGAGAACTTAACCTTTAACTATGGACGTGAGGTCTCACAGACCGCTCGTGGTTTGTGATTCGCGTACCTCTCCCATCCCCCGCACCCGACGCGTTTGCCGGCCTTAGTAGCTTCACGTTTAGCAGTGAAACGAAGATTGAAGCTGGAGGTTACGTCGCTGGCTCCATATTTGGTGAGTTATTTGACATTTTATTTCGACCGCGGTCTGTAGGACCGCACGTCCACGTTTGTGAAGCGAATTGTGCTTACAATATTTTTTTGTTGTAGGTGTTTTTTGTTTTAAAATGACGGATAATGAAAGGCCTAGTACTTTAGAATCCAAAAGGAAGTCAAGCTCATCTTTAGCTCCCAAGGCGAATAAATTATTACGACTAGATGACCCTTCTTTTGAAGATGTGCTACATCAAGTACTTCTGGAATCAGATTAGTGCGATCGATGATCGATCGAGATATTCATGACTGTTTACTACACGAAGAGGATGTAGGTAAAAATCACGTGAGTGATCAAGAAATGGCCGAGGACTCCATCATTTCCAATTCTGTTAGAAGTTCTGACGGTGAGAGTTCAGATGACGATGCTCCTCTTACACAGCTACGGACTAAGTATTACTATGGCAAAAATCGGGTCCTCGGCAAAAATCGGTAAACCAACACCAACACAGAGGACTGGATAGAGGTAAATTCTTAAAGGTACTGGCACGATCATTGGTAGTACCTCAAATGCAAAGAAGAGTTATGAACTCTCGCTTGCCAAATGAATTGACACTGAAGATAAAACGTGTTTTGGGTCCTGATATGCCAAATCCAGAAATCCCAGAAACCACTGTTTCTAAACGCATGACATGTAAACATTGCCCTCCAAAGATAGAAAGAAAGACAACTTACACATGTATAGGCTGTGGGCAGCCAATATGCCTTCAGTGTTCAAAGCCGCAGTGCAAAAACTGCCAGTAAAATGTCCAAGTTGAGTCATTGTCAGAATTTTTATGTTTATATTTTTAGACGAGATGTTTTATTTTCTTTATTTTCTGTACTTTTAATTTTAATTTTATAAAGTCACCCTGGTGCCAATACAATTAATTTTAAGAAAAAACGTTCTTTATAGTGATCTCGTACAAAAAGTCTGGAAAGTGCCTACTTGTGTTATACGGTTAGTTTTTGTTATGAGGAAATAAAAAATGTACATGCATTTTATGTTTTTGTTTTCATTTAGCAACTTATACAGGGGTTAACATAAAAATTCCGTTATTAAAGTGATTTGAGTATGCTGAAACTCGCCTTTGAACATAGTGTCTGTGAGACCGCACGTCCAAAAGTACGTGAAAAAAGCTGACGTCCATAGTTAAAGGTTAAAGAGAGATAGCTTACACAGTTATACGCTTCTATATGTACATACCATTGCATCCCCACACCTAGTGCCTTCTAGTGCAGGATGCGAGGTCCAGGTGTACCTTTCGCGCTGGCAGTGCAGGTCCCGACAGATATCTTCCAAGTTCTGAGCTGCGGAGTGACGACTACCGCTGCCGTATTTGAGCATACCTGGCAGGATGAATTTCATGCTGATTTTCAAAGAGTGAATAGAGATATAATAGTAGCCTATGTCTACAGTCCGATTAGTTTTTTTCATTCAATGACTTGTTTTTAGTAAGATTTTTTGGTAATAGAAAAGCACGTTTTATGCTTACATTGTTGATCAGCGTCGAATCTCTCCCCAGGTAGGATTCCCTCAGCGCTATGGTCGAGCTGACCCGCGGAGTTGCCGTGGTCTAGTAGACAACGAGATTGTACTGTACTGTAACAGACAAGAAACATGATAAAGCATGAAAGTTGGCAATAAATTAAGATATGATAATTATTTACTCTAGAAACTTCTGTAGATAATTTCTGCTGCATTGAGACCAGGTGATCTTGCCGCTACCGAGGGTCGGGCTCATGATGTATGCGCTTGGATCGCAGCCGTTATCCGCTAGAGGGCCGTCGTGACGCATTCCTAAACTGCAAACAAATAAGTACATTTCTTACACCATAAGGCGTGCATTTAAATTATTTTTAATGTCCTTATAGTATAAACAATATATACTGCTTCCAAATATAATGAAATAACTTACTTATGCCCTATTTCGTGAGCCACAACGTAAACACTCTCAAAGTGCCTGCCTTCGTTTACAGTACAACTGCTTGTAACAGTACACATACCAGCAACTGGTGCTAATCCTGAAAACGACACGAACGAGTTATCAAACCTGTTGATTTCAGGAAGAAATTAAAATAAAATCTAGCAATATAATCAAGCAACTCAAGAAGAACCGTTCACAGTTTAGTTTCCTTATAGCTTTTTGTGAATGACTCACCTACAACTTGACTGCTGACTTTACCATTCTTATTGACTACGTATAGATCCAATCCAGTCAAAATTAAAGCATGATCCCAATGCAACGGGTCATTATCACCTGGTGGATTCTCTAATCTTTGCCACGTACAGAAATTACTTAAAAATCTATCAATATCGTGCGGTCTCTTCAGATTAGCAGGATCTTCATGTAAGATTTCCAATCTTTTTAGTATAAAATTGACTGTTCTACCCAAAGATGGGTCGTGGTAAATTAATTGTACAGCATTTATCATCGCTAAAACGAATCTAACTAACTCTCTCTCCGTATCTTTAGGAAAATTTACTGTCATATGTTTGTATAAATCTCTATCTACGAACACAGCTGTTTCGACAAATATAGGAGGAGTTATCGCTCTTTTCTGTCTATTAGAATCTGGTTTTAGCTTTTCTATAAATTTGTCTATAGTTTTATTCCTGTGAGCTAAATTTAGTTTGAATTCTTCCAATGTGATATTGCTTTTGTTTGTTATTTCCCTTTTTCGTCTATGCTTTGTCCATCTTACAGATTCTTGTCTGTCGTTAATGTTATCTTTTTCTATACATGTTGTTATTTCGTTGTTGTTTAGACTATCGTCATGTTTTTTGACGATGATGTGCGGTTTCGTTTCTTCGTTATGAAACCTTTCAGGCAATGGATGTATATAATAGTTACTACCATTAGCTTTAAATAAGCCTCTCTGAAATTTATAATAAAATTATTATAAACTAGCTTTCGCCCGCGACTCCGTCCGCGTAGAAGTAAATACGACAGAAGTGAGTAGTCAATGTGTTCTTCCAGACTATGTTCCACATTTATGCCAAATTTCAACGAAATCCTTTCAGCTGTTTAGGCTACAAACTCTAACAAACTAACAATCTAACAAACTTTCGCATTTATAATATTAGTTAGATAATTACATTTAAGTACTTTTGATTATTATTTTGTTAAATGAACAAGTATAATAAGAATATATTAAGGTGAATGGCCTTCTATTAAGTTGAACAACAATGTACAATATTTCCATAAGCATAAGAAATAAACAAACGAATAAATACTTAACAATAGAAAAACCTAACAATTTACGGAAACATTCAAATAAATATAATTTATAGACGTAATTAAATAATTCGCAAATCAAACTCAAAATTAAAAGTTGTTGACCTTTTACTTGGCACTAGCTTTCGGCCGCGACTCCGTCCGCGTGAAATTAAAAAATAAAAGTAAGTAGCTTATATGTTCTTCCAGACTATCCTCTACATCTATACCAAATTTCATTAAAATCCGTTCAGCCGTTTAGGCTACAAACTCTAACAAACGTCCATGTAAACTTTCGCATTTATAATAATAAGTATGAATATTAGTCTTCAATAGACAAAGATCACGGATGTATAAAACAAAAGAATCAAGAAGTGGTCTTACCAAATCACCACAAGCATACAAAGCTGCAGTATCACTTCTATAATAACATAGATCTATCTCTTCATCATTATGTTGGTCCATCACAGCTTGCGTACCATTTGTCCATCTTCTTATCAGTAGGAACTGTGGATCTAGGAATGTGTGTCTAGGACTTAATTTTATATCTAAATGCTTCTTTAGCGTGTTTAGATCTGGATTATCGTGATGAATCGACCGTTTGCGACGCTTTGGTTGTCGTAAATGCAATATCTCGAATTGTGCATCTGAAAGTTGAAACCGTTAGCGTTAGTCTATTATTTTTATGTTTTCTTTAAAACAATTCATTGAACTTCTCTAAATTACGATTTAAAATTAATACTAGAAATGTATGTATATTCTTTTGGAGAGTATATTAGCTGTCCCCGTGCGGCTTCATCCGCATGAAATTGTGAAAATTTTATTTTATTGTTTACATTTGTCAAATTATCAATAGCAAATGTCAAAATGACATGACA